GGTCGTGACAGTTCGGTATGCCGGTACCGTACCGTACCGAGCTAACCTCGAAACACCGGTATGGTACGGTATTGCATACCTTGCTTATATATATATATATACATATATATGTATATGTCGAGTGGTGCACCAGAACGTATCGCTTGATATACTCGTACCGTACCATACCGAACTGAGCTCGATACTCCCGTACAGTACGAAATTGCGAACCTTGATCTTATCATAGTTTCAAGTAAACAAAACATGAAGTCAAAATAATGATAAGACATATCCTTTACAAACCATTAATACAAAAAATTGAAACATGTCTCCTTGTAGATATATTTGTATCCTCAAGCAGAAGTCCTAGCCAAGCCCTCACTTCTGGTATCAAACCACTCAGATCATCCTCTCTTCATCTTTGCTGTGTCATCAAGGAGTCCTAGTCATGCCCATGCACTCTCAATGGTCCTGATTCATTGGTCCCCTAGACGTTGAAATGTCCATGGGTTGTGGTCTGCTGGTTTGCATTTGGTTCTGGCTAAGTGTCTAAGCTCACAGCACTTTGACTGAAACTGGTTGAAGATTTTCAAGTTTCAATTGATTTGATTTGCAATGTTTAAATTATGCATTGGTTGGGTTTTGGGAGATCAGTAGTTCAGGGCATCCCACAATTTGGTCCATATTATGTACTTCCTGAACCATGCAGTTCACCATGAAATTAATATGTTTGCCTTTTATCAAAATAGAAAATTTCTTAAGCATGATTTTGGCAAATTCAAGTCTTGCTAGTTGAACTTCCATGGACTGCATTAATTTATGATTGATCTTTTATTGGAATATGTAAGATAGGTACATTATCAGTGTGTCACAAAGTATCTAATTCCGTAAAATCCTTATTAATGTATTACAGGTGGGAAATCGGTCCAGTGAATTTCATCCAGAGGTTAGGAGAGTGAGGCGTGAGAGCTCTTACATTTATGAGGAATTTATGCCTACTGGTGGAACAGATGTCAAGGTAGTGTATCTGTTTTCTTATGTTTTACTTTTGCTTGATAATGCCTTTGTCATCAAAGGTGAAATGCATGTTTGGTATATTTTGTTTTCTTCTCATGTTTGATTTTTGATATATCAATATATGCTGCTAAGCATATTTTTGAAATGAAAGTTGCATGTTTCTATGTTTAGGATGGATTAAATTGTTAAGACCAGAAAGACTTGAACCTGCAATTTACAATCATAAATTTCAAGTAGTTGTTCAAAGTTACTTGTTAATGTTTATGCATAGAAAAGGTCTCTCATCTTGTAATATCATTATTGTTTGATTCTGTGATACCGTCCCACAGTTAATTGTGCCAACTCAAATATTAAGCTCTATAGCATCCTTCATAATTGTGCCATCATCAATGATGTCAACCTTTAATCTTTTCCATCATTTGACATAGAACGCTAACAAAATATTGAGTGTACCAGGCTAACTAAATATTGCTGATTGCTGGATGCCAACCTTGTAAATGTTCCTTGCTAAGATAGATCATGTAATTTGAACTAAAATCTAAAAGGCTACCTGATGGTCAGAAAGGTTGTAATTTAAGCCCTTAATTAAGGGATAATCCTTCAAATTTTCTCTTGGTTAGGGGGAAGTTCCCAAAGTTCTTTATAGGTGATGTATCGTTTTTCGTTTTTTGTATTGTCATTCTTTAGATTGACTTTTTTTATGTTGTACTTGCCATGTAGCAAAATTTGGGAAAAAGAAGGATGCATAACTTCTATATTAATAATTAGTTGTACTGCACATGTTTAGAAAATTTGATTTTTCAGAGCATGCATGTGTTTACCTTGATCAAAGGTAATTGTCGACACATCAGTCATTCTTTTATCTTCAATAGCATATTCATCTTTGGCCAGGATGTTTGTGAGGACAACTGCTTTTATATAACCTTGTTTCTGTTGTGGGCATACTATAATAGCTTAACTCATAATTGGGAGTCTGGGATAAGGTATGCAATACCGTACCATACTGGTGTTTCGAGGTTGGCGTACTACTGAGCGGTACACCTAATTTAGGTGTAAAACTCTCCGAAAATACCTGAAAATAAAGTTAGGATAAGTTAGAAATAAATATAGTAATAGCATAAGTTTAGCCAAATCAATGTAAATTAGGTAAGAATAATATCACATATCCTTTTCGATTAAATTTTGATTAAATCATCATTAAAATGACTAATCACAGCATTAAATAACTTTAATAAAACCTAATTAAACCTATTTTCTCATCATATATATGTCAAACACATAAAAGAAACATTAAATATATAATTTTGATCTAATATGATTCAAATTATGATAAAATCATCATTAGATACACTAATTATATGATTAACATAGTTAATTTCTCATTAATTACTTCTCTTTCAATACTACAAACATGACAAACACCCTAATAGGTATTAAACACATTGAGTTGACATAAAATTGAATAAATTTTGATTAAATCATCATTAAAATAATTAATCGCAGTATTTAATAACTTTAATAAAATCTAATTAAACTTATTTTACTATCATAAATATTTTTAAATAATTAATATGCATGAAATATAAATATTTGACCTATTAAGTATTTAATTTCGAATTAATCAATATTAAACACACTAATCATAATATTAAAAATCTTAATTACTCTCTAATTAAAAAAAGAGAATACATATCTCTTGATTAGAAAGTTCTTCCTCTTAATCTTCCCAAATTAACCTTGATTGAATTCACTAATCATTGTTTTGTAGAGTTTAGGAGAGCACAAATGTGCGAAATTTTTTTTTTGAGATAGTTTAAGAGAGTATGCGAATGTAATGGAGTGAAATAGGGGAGAAGAAGGGTTTAAATACTATGAGAAAGGGCTCCAACGGTCAATTTGATCGTTGGAGCACTGTAGCACAGTTACAGTGCGGTAACGGTTGAAATCGACCGTTACCGAGTTGTGTTGGGCAGTAACGATCGAAATTTTGATCGTTACCGCATTGTCACGACCTTAGCTGGAATTTAAGGCGTGCGGC